GCGGTGCCCCAACACCAGCGGTGCCCCAACACCAGCGGTGCCCCAACACCAGCGGTGCCCCAACACCAGCGGTGCCCCAACACCAGCGGTGCCCCAACACCAGCGGTGCCCCAACACCAGCGGTGCCCCAACACCAGCGGTGCCCCAACACCAGCGGTGCCCCAACACCAGCGGTGCCCCAACACCAGCGGTGCCCCAACAATTTTGGTACCCCGATATCAACGATGGTTGCCTGCATAAGCTAACAAAATAACTTTTTTGAGGAGATTTCGGACATGAAATTAACTTGAAAAATGATGAGTGCAGAAACAAGTTCATGTTGTCGACTTAGGAAAGGCAATCGAAGATAAAAAAGTGTATGAAAATTAGTACAAAATGTGTAACTTATAGGAATATATCGAGTATCACAGAAGTGTTTTGGAACAAAATTAGATGTATAAAATACGTTAACCACGGCCGGCAAAAAACCGTAATTTAATGTTTGCCTTTAATATCAGGTTTTTGCCTCTCGCGGACTGAACAAAGAGCTGAAGTTTTTACTAAGTAAAGACTTCAGCTCATGTTCAATCTTTACGTTAATTTGATTGGCCGTAGCGAGGCATGCGCTGTGCCGAGACATGTTCCTTGTGCGCCGCTCACAGACGTCTCACTTCCCTGACACGATAATGCGCACGTTATGCGCGCAAAATGAGCACCTGCGCGTGCGCGATATACAAACAAAGGCGCGTACTTTGTAATTTGTCCCACCAAAGATACACGCAGATAGCGACAGCACTGCATTAAATGAATTTTTGAGCTCCTTTGGTTCAGAGAAAAGGTTTTTTCCTACACCGCCGATGTAGGAGACACGAGTAGCAGGGATATGGTTCTGGCGGACGAAGAATCCTGCCGCGATGTAGGCAGCCACGACATGGCAGCGATGTAGGCAGTCACGACATGCCTGCGATGTAGGCAGTCACGACATGCCTCATGCCTGCGATGTAGGCAGTCACGACATGCCCGCGATGAAGGCAGTCACGACATGCCAGCGATGTAGGCAGTCACGACATGCCAGCGATGTAGGCAGTCACGACATGCCAGCGATGTAGGCAGTCACGACATGCCAGCGATGTAGGCAGTCACGACATGCCAGCGATGTAGGCAGTCACGACATGCCAGCGATGTAGGCAGTCACGACATGCCAGCGATGTAGGCAGTCACGACATGCCAGCGATGTAGGCAGTCACGACATGCCAGCGATGTAGGCAGTCACGACATGCCAGCGATGTAGGCAGTCACGACATGCCAGCGATGTAGGCAGTCACGACATGCCAGCGATGTAGGCAGTCACGACATGCCAGCGATGTAGGCAGTCACGACATGCCAGCGATGTAGGCAGTCACGACATGCCAGCGATGTAGGCAGTCACGACATGCCAGCGATGTAGGCAGTCACGACATGCCAGCGATGTAGGCAGTCACGACATGCCAGCGATGTAGGCAGTCACGACATGCCAGCGATGTAGGCAGTCACGACATGCCAGCGATGTAGGCAGTCACGACATGCCAGCGATGTAGGCAGTCACGACATGCCAGCGATGTAGGCAGTCACGACATGCCAGCGATGTAGGCAGTCACGACATGCCAGCGATGTAGGCAGTCACGACATGCCAGCGATGTAGGCAGTCACGACATGCCAGCGATGTAGGCAGTCACGGCATAGCTGCGATGTAGGCAGTCACGACACTCCAGCGATGTAGGCAGTCACG